GCGCGCGCGAGGCTGTAGGAATGCCGCGGAAGCGACGACACGCGGGCAATGAGAAGGAAAGCTGTTTGACGCGCATACCTCCCGTGTTCTCAGGCGTGCGAATGCTCGATGGCCCGGTAAACGACGCTGTCGAAGCCAGAGCACTGGGATTGAATCCTGATCACATCGATATATACAGCGCTTCTTGGGGCCCCGAAGATGATGGCAAAACCGTCGACGGACCCGGCCCTCTCGCCCGCAGGGCGTTCATTTATGGTGTAACCAGCGTAAGTTATCAAGCTTTCGTTTATTTTTATGATATTTTTTATTGTGAGATTGTGTGTTTTTATGGATGGAATTAGGTGTGTTTTTATATGGTTGAAAAGGAGCGAGAGAATTTAGATAGCACTTGCATTTCACTCAAGTTTTTGTTCATTTACGGGGTAACCAGTGTAAGTTGTCAAGCTTTCGTTTATTCTTGTGTTGCTTTTTATTGTTTTTTATTTGTTTTTTAGTGTGCTCTGTGTGGATGGAATTAGGTGTGTTTTTATGTAGACTTAGTGCTTGATTTGCATGGAATTCGAACTGCGCGATTTCGGTTTAACATGGAAAAGAGCGAGAGAATTTATTTCAGACAAATGTAAAAACTAGTTTTTGTTTTATGAATTACATATAATTTTGTTGGATTAATGAATTCTTATTTCACAATATGTATATAATGTTTTATTGTACAGAAAAGTAAATATTACTGTTTCATGTGGATTTGTTGAATTTATTTCATGTGTATTTCTTTTTGATGTGGATTATGGAATCGAATTACACGATTTTAATTTACACGACGTTTTTGGGGAACCAATTTACCGTGGAAATTGAGGGTTGGGTGTATTTGATTGTGTATTTTTATGATGTGTGTTTGATACGTATTGAAAACTGTAAGGTAGGTTTTGAGTCCCTAGATTAACGTATAAATGGAATTTCAAGCAAATCGTGTTACATGTGACAACAGTACACTGCAAGAATTGCAAGTAATTAATTATTCTCTCTACTTTCTGCGATACAAAAAAATAGTTCAGAAAAGAATAGAATCTCTAATACAAAAGAAATTAGGAATGAATTCAATAACCCAAAGTTGACAACAGTTTACTGCAAAAATTACAAGTAATTAATAATTCTCCCTGCTTTCTCTGCTGCAAAAGAATAGCTTAGAAAAGAATAGAATCTCTAATACAAAAGAAATTAGGAATGATATTCAATCACCCAAAGTAGACAACAGTTAACTGCAAGAATTGCAAGTAATTAATCATTCCCCTACTTTCTCTGCTGCAAAAGAATAGTTTACAAAAGAATAGAATCTCTAATACAAAAGAAATTAGAATTGAAACTTGAAAACAATCATAACATGCAAAATAGCCAATATCATTCCCCTACTTTTCTTCTACAAAAGAATAGCTTAGTAAACAATACAATCAAAAGAATAGAATCTCAGTATCAAATGATATTCAATAACCACATTCAACAACAGTGCACAGCAATAATTACAAATAATTAATCAATCCCCTACTGTCTTCCACAAAAGAATAACTTAGTAAAGAATAGAATCTCAGTATCAAATGCTATTCAATAACCCAAATTCGCCACCAATACACACCAACAACAAACAACTCCCACCCACACATCAAACAATCCAACCTAACAACAACCTCTCCACAGGGTCGCAAAGGCAAAGGCTCGATCTTCGTGTGGGCCTCGGGGAACGGGGGTCGGCACACGGACTCGTGCAACTGCGACGGTTACACGAACAGCATCTTCACGTTGTCGATCTCGAGCGCGACGCAGGGCGGCTACAAGCCGTGGTACCTGGAAGAGTGCAGCTCGACGCTGGCCTCGACGTACTCCTCGGGGACGCCGGGCAACGACAAGAGCGTCGCGACGGTGGACATGGACGCGAAGCTGCGTCCGGATCACATTTGCACCGTCGAGCATACCGGAACCTCCGCATCGGCCCCGTTGGCGGCCGGCATCGCCGCGCTGGCGCTCGAGGCGAATCCGAGCCTCACCTGGAGGGACATGCAGTACCTGGTGGTGCTCACCTCCAGGTCCGGCCCCCTAGAGAAGGAGCCCGGCTGGATCCTGAACGGCGTCAAGCGGAAGGTGTCCCACAAATTCGGTTACGGGCTGATGGACGCCGGCGCCATGGTCAGCCTCGCCGAACAATGGACCAACGTGCCCCCGCAGCATATCTGCAAGTCAGACGAGATCAACGAGGAGAGGCGGATCGATCCCACCTACGGGTACACGCTCAGCGCGTACATGGATGTCACGGGGTGCGCTGGCTCGCTCAACGAGGTTCGGTTCCTCGAACATGTGCAGTGCAAGGTGAGGGGCTGCGGATGCGAGTCGATGGGATTAGGTTGACGATGGAATGGTTGATTGAAGATTAATCATTTGCAATCGAGAGAATTTTAGTCTCTGATTCGAAACAGCGAACTTAAAATTTTTAATTCAATGTTAACCCTTTGCGGACGAATGTCGATATTTTAGCGAGATGAAATGTTCATATTTGGAAGACTAAGTAGACGAGTGAGTTAATTACTCGAATATCTAGAGATCTGCAGAGTTTCCTATTTTTCTATTGATTAAGCGATTGATGAATCATTTAGTTTCTTCTGTTGAAGGTTTTGTATATTTCTAAGAACCTTCGTCCGCAAAGGGTTAAACTTTGTGTAATGTATCAATGAAACGTCGGAATAAAATAGTTCTGTTAATTTATAGAAGATAATCAATGGTTAATGAATATTTGCAACGAAAAATATTGTCGAGTGCAAGAGTTAATGTTTAATAGAAAATTGGAAAGATATCTGTATCTTCTCCAACATTGTATATTTCCTAATTATTGAGGATATGAATCATTGAATGATTCTTTCTCGTTATATAATATAAGATGAGATAATATCGTTAATATTTAGTCAGAAAGTAATGAATATTTGAATATTCTTAGTGCAAAATTTGAATGTATGAAAAATCTAATAATGCAGGGTAGTTTCTTTAAGATTCATTGAAATATCTAATATTATTCTTGTGCAATATTGGAGCCTACAGAGTTCAAAGGGTTAGGATTTTAATTTTCTAAGCTCGTGTAATATTTTACTATCGACAGTTTGGAAGTTAATTGTTACTTCGTGGTTCCATTTGAAGATAATACATTGATGCAAAATAACTTGCTTGACCCGAACAACATTGATTCTTGTTAAATTCTAGAGATCATCACGTCTCTCTCGTAATTAATGTTAACTATAATACAAGGGGTTGAGAGTCAAATGTATCAAGCAGAAACAAACACTGTCTAAATTGTCACATTGCTAACAACATTGAAACTATCGATATACCAGACGAATATTTATTTCCGAAGAAAGTAGAGCATACATTTATATAACAGGTCTCGCTAAGATTCTTCCCACGAGGTAATTTGAGATTGCTGTTGACCTCGCCGATGGGCACAACATCGACCTTGCTGTTCGAGAGGCCACGGGACGTGCTCAGCGCGAACTTCGATGATTGGCCGTTCCTCAGCGTGCACTTCTGGGGTGAAAAGGCGGACGGCAGATGGACCCTACAGATCATCAATGCCGGGAATCGACACGTCAACTCGCCAGGCAAGTGATTTTCTCATCTTCCGCGTCGTTTAACCAGTTCACTACTTCACTAGTTCACAATCTAGTTAGAAAAACCTCTCGTGCGCGCAATAAAATCAAAAAATGGAGCGTGTACTCGTCGAAGGACATTCGAATGTCGAATTCCTAACAAAATAACTCTTTATCGACCTGCAGGCCGATATAAGCAGGAGTAATTTAATATAATTTATACTAAACTAATTTTAACATTCTTTTGACAACGTTTAGTTTCACTTAATTCACCAGTGGAACTTCTTTTTCGTTAACGTTCTATTTATTTTTTCAGGAATCAGGTGCAATGTTCGTTCACTTCGAATCCAGAATTTATCGAATCACTTTGTAATGTGGTATAAACGTGGAAACACATTCTTTGTCGTGTACATTGTTTAATAGTTTAATTCCGTGTGATGATCTAGGCAACGAGAATCATTTACAATAATATCAGTGGGTGATTATAGATTAACAATACAATGGATTAACAAACAAAGGATTAACCCTTGACCTACGATTGATTTATCAGTTATGATCGATACAACTTTCTTATTTTACGTTGGATGCCATGGGGTCATCGGTGACCTCAACCAAGGTCGTCATAAAATTTATCGTACAGTTTAATTTTCCACTGCTCAAATTAGATTATACCTAGTCAATCATTAGACCTACTTAACACTAAAACTACTGAGCAGTTAAATTGAGTTTTTCAGATTTCTCTATAAAAACTCCAAGAGTGCATTTCTTGAAGGTTTAATTGATTTAGATTTCAGATTAGTGCTGAATCAGTTTGTTCAATCATTTCTCAGAGAAACATTTGTTACCTTTCTAATAATTGCACAAAGACGTTAGGAATGGGTCATTTTGAGGGTCATTACCCAATTCTTATGAATGTAAATAAAATATTATCCTTCTGTTACCGATTATTATAATTCAAAGCAAACATGGCCATAGAATAAACCTAAAATTTCTCTCTCTTTTCAATAAATTATTACTGACAAAGTTATATCGATCACAGTTGAAAAATAAATCATAATGGGTTAATAAAGCTTAGACCTAATAATCTATTAGATTAAACTATAAGCATAACTATCAATGACAGTGCAACAATCATGCAACTACAGTGTTATATCCTTCAAAAAGATACTCACGAAAGCCACCATAGCTTGCAGTAGCCAAAGATTAACCATAAGTCCATAAATAACAGGAAACAACAATCTACAAAAGTGAAAGTACAAAGGCTCGAAGCTCCACGACTCATCCTACCCAACAAACGTCTAACTCCAACTCCTGGCGTGCTGTTGCAGGTATCCTGAAGAAATGGCAACTGATCTTCTACGGCACGGCGACAAATCCCATCAGGATCCGAACACGACAGTTTAACCCGGTACACGCGCATTCTTCGTACGCCTCCGTGCATTACCCATTCCATGTAGACGATGCTCCACTATCGCTGGGCCATCGCGGCGACGCCGACTTCTTTCCTTCCTCTACCTTTCAGGGCTACCAGGGCCCGTACGTCGGCGCCGCCTCCAACGTCCAAGCGTCCGTGGCGACTCTCGACGGCTCCTCGGCCCCTATCCTGACTAACCGACTTCCCGGGGACACGTCCTCCGCATTCGGCTCGCCGCCGTCCTCGTCGCAAGTCGGGGACGACTCGCTGGACGCCACCAGAAAGATATTGCACGACTGCGACCCGCAGTGCGACCCCCAGGGCTGCTACGGCAAAGGCCCCACGCAGTGTATCGCTTGTAAAAATTATCGACTCGACAAGTGAGTATGCTTCTGCTGTCGTTTTCTTCGTTTATAGTCTCTCTATTTGTGGCTTGAGTTTTGGTGTTGGTTGATTAGTGAACGGGTGTCGCGTAGGAAAGGGTTTTGAGAGTTTTATTTGAGATGTTTGTTGATGTGTTTGAAGTTTCTTAGTAAATAAATATATATCTTAGTAAATATCTTACTAAATAAATATATGATTTAGTAAATATCTTGGTCAATAAATATATATCTTAGTGAATATATATCTTGGTAAATATCTTAGTAAATATATAACTTATTAAATATCTTGGTAAATAAATATATAACTTAGTAAATATAAATCTTAGCAAACTATCTTAGTCAATATATATCTTAGTAAATATCTCAGTAAATATATATCTTAGTAAATATACACAGGATTTACCACTAAATAATTCTGCCACAAATTCTGATATTGTTATCTTGATGGAGGTTAATTTTCAACGCTCAAGCTCAGCTCAAGGCCAATTTAAAATGGCACTTCTTGGCATCAACTACGAGAATGAATTAAGTATATTCTGTGACGTAGGCAACTAAGATGATCTTGATCTTTAACACTAGATTCACAGGAGTCAGTTCGACTGATACTGAATTTTATAAACTTTATTTGCTAAACGTTTGTGTCGATTTCGATTGATGTCTGCGTTTAAACTGGTTTCTAAAATCTATGTGAACGAATATCAATTTTTGTGAGGACAATAGAACAAGGAAAATGAATCTCCGTAAATCTAGTGTTAAAGCTTCTTGGGAATCTGATGTATTTGATGATGTCCAGGAGACTTTTATTCGAAACATTTGTCGAGGTGTTTGAGAAATGGCGACAGTTGCGTGACAGAGCCTTGTAAATAGAAGAAGCTGTACCTCTTTCTTCTACCATTTCTGCTGCCTCCGCTCGAATTTGATCCTTCACAGCTCTTAATTCTTCCTTCTTCTCTGCTAGTTCGGTCTCCGCTCGGTCCAACTCCATTTGCAGACTTTGGCCGAAGCTCTCCTAAGTTGAGAAATGCGTTTGAAAAGATTGTAGAGAGCACTACAAACGATTCTTCTTACCGATAACACCGAAAACGACATAATAATATAATATATTTTGAAAATATCTCGACGAAGGATTAACCATTTGCGTCTTCTAAACGCGAAGCTTACTTTATACGTCAGAGACGCTCAACCGAAAGTCTTCCAAGCTTTCGATCGAAATTAATCTCCGACCGACGTTGCCGAGCAACGCGTACTGCAATTTGCGTCGAGCAAATCATCGGTGACCGACGCGGCATTTAACGCGTTAAAAATCCGACTAAGGAATGTTAATAAAATTCAATATACGTCAAATTGACGCGCCCCGTAAATCCAGCGTTCGTCGCGCGCAAGTCCTTTGTTCCTTCTTTCAAATAAACGGCGCTCGTTCCGCGTGCGTAATAACGTGTCCAATAAATTCCCGCTGTTCTTCGAAACGAGAAACTTGAACAGCTAATTCCGCAAAGTTAAAGCAATTGCCGCGTGCACCGTGTCTGTCGCGCATTCGCGACAAACGAAACTTCCGCTGGGAACGAAGCTATTCTTTCTATCCCGACTCGTTCATACGCGAAATCGTTTGTTCTGTGGATAATTGCTCCTTAGCATTCATCGCGGTTGATTATAAACACAGGCAACAGACCCTGCATCACGTGCATAAGCGTAATTACTTAAATCCTCGCATACCGACGTCCTCTCGGAAAAGATCCACGGTTCGTTCGCCGGTAGAATGGAAACGTAACGTTTTCTGATTGAGTAGACTTGTATTCTACTTGTTCGTAGAGTAGTAACCAGATTTTGAATTGTAATGTGTTTACGAAACTATATGTAGCATCGAAAAGCATTAACACTAGAACTAAGAGTCGAATTAACTTCTAGAGATTTTTCTGTAGGAACTGCAAGGCATCTGTTGAGGTTTCTATTAATTTACAATTCAGTGTGCGCATTGAGTTTTACAGAATTTCTTTAATATTCTTAGAGAATGATCCGTTGCTTTTTTAATGATTGCAAACAGAAGAAATCAGAAGTAAGTGATTTTGAGTGCTAGTTCTAGCGTTAAAGAGACAACTACAATTTCAGCACGTGCGTGAGTCGCTGCCCACCGAGGAGCTTCCCGAACCAAGGCGGCGTCTGCTGGCCTTGCCATGAGTCCTGCGAAATCTGCGCCGGTGCTGGCCAGGACTCTTGCCTCTCCTGCGCACCTGCTCATCTGCGTGTCACCGATTTGGCAGTGTGTCTGCAGCAGTGCCCCGAAGGATATTACGAGAGTAAGCGAGGAAACTCCACTCCCACTGTGCTAGAAAGAAATGAGGAAATTCAGAATTAACCGTTCGAGTCCCACCGGTTCTCACAAAAGTTCCAAATAAAAACTACCAAGCAATCGCGCTTCTTTCAACTCAATTCAGAAACTTACTTAAACTTTTCTTTTGTCACAAAAACAAACGTTAAATATCGTGATCGTTACATTCTTCCAGTCCTAGGCAGGTAATAACAAAGATAAAAAACGAATTCGAAGGAAAAGAAATAAATAAGCTTCATCTCTTTCGTTTCAATTTAAAAACTCACTTACACTTTTCTATTGTTGCAAAAACAAACGTTACATAGCGTGATCGTTAATAAAAACGAATAACTCGAAGGAAATTGCCAGCGACTGACACTTCTAGGCGGCGCGACGTAGAACCGCTATCTTGTCGCTCGGGGCTCGGGCGGTTAACCGAGCGAACGAAGTTTCCGTAGCTAAACGGGAGGATCTTGCATTTTCAGACACTGAGAACAGCACATGTGTGCCCTGCGAAGCGAACTGCGCGAGCTGCCAGGATAGGCCGGATAAGTGCACCAGTTGCGAGCATCACCTGGTAATGTACGAAAACAAGTGTTACGCGGCGTGTCCCCTGTACACCTACGAGACGCAAGATTACAACTGTGCGCCGTGTCATTCGTCGTGCGAGACCTGCAACGGCACCACCGAGTACCAATGCATCTCCTGTCGGCCCGGATTGTTTTCTCTGAATGGTAAGTAGCCGAGCACGCGGTAATCGCTTCGGAGAATAGACTCAGCTTGCGCCACTTTGCTATCTACTTTGCAACGTCATTTTCCACCGGTTGCTATCGATACTACGAGATTGTCTTAGCGACGATTAAACGAGGAACTTCAGTGGATCAAGTCCCGTCGAGTATGTATAAATGGACTGTACGTGTTGCCGACTGTCGCGCTAAGTGGCGGGAAGTTGACTGCTCCACTGGATCGTGGCGAGTTGACTGTGCCACTGACTAGTGCGAAGTGTTGAAATGTACGATGCGACGATGACTATCGCACCGAGTGCCGAGAAGATGGCTGTCCCGCTGGGTCGCGAGATGTTGACTGTCCCGATGACTCGCACGAAGCGTCGAAATGTCTCCTGGTCCCCGACCGCGACTTCTCGTGCCGGGTCGAGCGCGCTGAGACGTCTTTTGGTTCACTCCGATCAGAGTGTCTTTGCTTTTGCTACAAAATACCGGTTAACGCCCTCTAACCACCCCTTTCCGAGCGGGGCGAGGGCAGAGCACGACTATAGGGTTTCTCGAAGTTCCGATGGGACGCGGAGATTTCCTTCGGGCCGACTCTCGTCTGGAAGGGCCGTTATGCACGTGTTCTGGCCGACCCTTCGGAAAATCCGAGTTTGCGACCTGCTCGGTCATTAAGACGAACGAAACGAAACTCTAAAGCTAGGCTCGGTTAAATTTTACAGTTTCCGAGTTATCGGAATAGAAGAGGAAGCGATTTGCTTGTAGGAATTGACTCGATAGTATAGTCTGACAAAGGCAGGGAATTGATACAGTGGAAGCTAGATAGAGACTTTGATGAAAATCGAGGGTAAGAGTGCAAGGGATGCACGTGTCAAATGTAAACGTGCGATGAAGGAAATTTGGAGTGGAATTATTTTGGTTTTACTTTGTTACATGTAGTACCGATGGAACGGTGAGAATCTGCTGGTCAAAATGAGTCCAAACACGACGTAAATCAATCTAGTTTCACGATTCATAGAATGCAATGGATTGTATGAAAGTCAAAATGACTAAAACTTTATCGCAAGGACAAATACCGATTGTAGAAAACGAAACTCTAAAATATTCAAAAATAAACTCTCCCGTTGTCATAAACTGAAGTCCGAGAACCTCTAATTATCACAAGAACTCAGTGTGTAGTCCACGTTTCTTTGAATCCCAGGAACCTGTCGAGCGTCCTGCCCAGCAGGCTTCAGCGCAGACAAGAAGCGCCGAGAGTGCGTGCCCTGTCCACCGGGATGCGCAACCTGCGCCACAGCGACTTGCACGAGCTGCATCGACGGCTGGAGCGTCAACGAAGAGGGTCTCTGCGCGCCGGAGCACCGCGACCGCTGCGATGTCTCCGAGTACTATGAAAATGGCCACTGCAAACCGTGCCACACCTCGTGCAAAACCTGCGCCGGGCCCACCAAAGACAACTGCATCTCCTGTCAGTCCTCGCTGCTGCTCCAAGGGAAACGCTGCGTGTATCAGTGCGATGACGGGTATTATTCCATGGCGCAACCCTCGAGACCGGTCTGCGTGCTCTGCTTACACACTTGCAAGACCTGTGTGTCGCGCTTGAACTGCACCGCCTGCCAAGACGGTCTGCAGCTGCAGAGCGGCGAGTGCAGGTCCTCTTGCGCACAAGGGTGAGTTTCTTGAGTTAGCACTCTAGATTTTGTAATCTGTCAGTAATTGTTATGGTACCGTGAAGATTGAAGGGTTGTGACGTTTTTTTGACCTTTTGTTTTCGGTGTTAGTAGGATGTTTGTGACATTTGATGATCTTTTGAGATTCAGTACAATATTTGGTATTACTGGTGCTACATTGGAGTCTAGAGTTCAAAGGGTTAACTAAATATAATATGTTTACGTTATGCAAGAGGAGACTAATTGGATTCAATAGATCTTAATAGAAACTAAACCTTGAAAATACTTAGATTTATCCCTTAGGAAATCTCTCATTAGAAAATTCAACATTTTTCAATAGACAACATTCGTTTGAAACGATAAGTGAAGAAACAAAGTAATTATTTCAATATTCCACATACTGGATTACACAAAGCTTAATATTGTTCCTTTCACGTTTAGTTTTCCATAGTTCTGTGTTGCATCTTTCCTAATTGCTATAACATTGAAAATGTTAAATCTGATTCCAGTTGATAATCAATTTAAAATAACACAATATCTGAGTTTGCTATATATAGTGACAAATTTATCTCACTGAAACTTGCCGTAACATTGAAAGAAATATTCAATTTGATTCGAACTGATTGTTTATCTATTATACATATTGCACAACAATATGGTGTTTATATATTTCTATACATAGTGATGTAAATTGATTTCTGTACCGGTTCTCTCGCGAGAGAGTAAGAAGAATGCTTCTGTGCAGGTATTACAGCGATCGAGGTCAATGTGCCAAATGTTACCTATCCTGCAACACGTGTTCCGGGCCGAGGAGGGATCAGTGCGTGACTTGTCCTCGCGGTTGGCAATTAGCAGCGGGAGAATGCCACCCCGAGTGTCCCGAAGGTTTCTTCAAATCCAACTTCGGCTGCCAGAAGTGTCATCATTACTGCCGCACCTGCAAAGGTACAGTATTAACAGGGTCTACTATGATACTTAACATGTCCCGTGCTGAATGCTGAACTTTCCGTTCAAGCCATTGGGTATTGTCATTGTAAAACCAGTCAAATGACTGGTCTTTAGCACAACTTATATTTTTTAATATAGAATGATGATAATAGCCAATTAGTATACAATTATAGTTTCTTTTATTTAGAAGTATACAATTTACATTTTATTCGTTTTCACCGCATTTTTTACAAATAGGTTTGTCGATTGTACATTTCCCACGCACGTACTTTTTACATTTTAGACAGATTTTCTTAGTCTTATTGTTTGCACAATATCTTATTTGGCATGGTTTCTGTTTGCGTGAACCCGTACTTGTATTTGCGACGGGTGTTGCTTGATTTTCTTTGCCTAAGTTCTTCTGCCAATCGAAAAAAAAATTCCTGCCTCGAAATTTCTTCTCCCGTGGATTCTTTCTATAAAATCCATGTGTTTATCCCGGCTAAATCTGGGATATTGAAAAACACCTATAAAGGCCATCTTCGACATTTAGATTTGACCGATTTTACCGAGGCCGATAAGCGAGCGAGAACTGTAAACGCTTGGAAGTGCCGTAAAGCAATCCCTGAAAGGCACTTTTTGGCTAAAATCATGCTGCAACTGCATTATCTTTCGTTTGCAACGACTTTATAGCCTCGGAATCGAGTCTTCGAGAGAATACTATTACAAAAAGATACAAATCGTTCTACCGGTCAAATGACCGGTCGCGGTAGGCAAGGCAGACTACAAATTTTTCTCAGAAAATAAACAATAAAAAAGGAGTGAATATTGAAGAATGTTTTACACATATTTTAGGAAAACTCGTGGAGTATAAAGGCGATTCAATTACGTCGTCTATAGGAAATTCTAATCGAAATTTAAAAAACAGTCATTCGACTGGTCGCGGTAAGAATAGTGTTAATTATATTGACAGATTTTTAAACATCGATCGAACGGAAACTTGTAATTTATGAAAAAGGAGAAGGAACTCCATTTTGTAATTTTACTTTGCAATTGTGCGATGTATCTGTAAAATGTTACCGATTTTAACAATGAAACTACCAGACGAGTAAAACTGATCCACTCCTGATGTCCCCTTTTCGCAATTATTAATTAGATAATAAATGTTTCCCTGGAAAATTGTTATAGAAATAGACACTTCAAACAAATTCATTTTACATATAATTGTTTAAAGAGCAAAATCGATGTTAACCAATTCATATTTCCTTTCAATGATCAAATCTTCATTTATTTCCATAAACACGCGATTCTCCTTTGATTTCATTTGACTGGTCGCGGTAGGAATAGTGGTAACAGTTAAATAACACAATCCTGTTACAGGGGAGGGGCCTCTCGAGTGCACGTCCTGTCCCCAGCACTCCATGCTGGAAGGCGGCCTGTGCATGGAGTGTCTCGGCGCGCAGTATTACGACCCCCTGACGCAACTCTGCAAGAACTGCCACAGCGACTGTCGAAGATGCACGGGCCCCGGTAAATTCAGCTGCGCGGCCTGCTCGCCGCCTCTGCACTTGGACAAGTTAAACAATCAGTGTGTACCCTGCTGCACTGGCAACGAGAAGGGGCCGCAGGCTGAAGAGTGTTGCCTCTGTGATCCTGAGACTGGTAATGTCACCTCTAACTTAACACATCGAGCGCGGGATTCTGAGTCTATCACTTGAGCACCGGCCCCGATAATGCGGATTTCTCGACCACTCGTTGATCAGATACAAGCGAATAAAGTCTTAACACTTAGGCGACCTAAAAAGAACTATAACTACAACCTCCTCCATTACCTCCAATTGAACTCATTCAATTGATTCGGTTAGAATCTGTATTTTGTAAAAACAAGAATTGCAAATAATCCCACTTCAAGACTTACGAAGTCAAAAGAAAAGAGAAATAAAATAAAAGGCAATAGCTAAGTGAAAAGTGAGAGATCTCATTCGGTTAGCTAAGTGTTAAAAGAAAGTTCGAGGGAATTCAATGGAGTGTATAGGTTTCTCAATGATTTTGGTTGTTCAATGCAGGCGGCTGCAGGAACAGTTCACCAGCTGGCAAAAGGCGAGTGCCCGGGACAGAGTTCGTTTCAGCTGACACGTCCATTTCGGAGGTGTACGCACATTACGAGGGAACAGCGAGCGATAAAAGCGATTCAGCGTCACTGGCCATCACGGCGACCACCACCATAGCCGTGGCCATTTGTCTGGTGTCCGTCGCCTTGTTCGCGACTATCTTCATCGCTCTTCAGGTGTGTATCGATTACTGGATTCGTATCAACCCTTTGCGCGCGAGTGTCTTTTCTGCGAGATGAAATTTTTTTTGGAAGACTAAGTTGCAGGCAAATGATGTAATTTTTGAAGAGATCACATAGTTTCCTTGTTTTTATGTTAATTAAGCAATTTATGTGTAATTCAGCTTCATCTGCTGAAGATTTTATTAATGTTGTATTATTAATATTGGTTTATTAATATTGTATATAAAATTTTATAATTTTGGTATATCAAAGTAAACGGTGACTAGATTTCAATAGACAACATTCTTTTGAAACAAGTTAAGAAACAAAGTAATTATTTTACACAAAGCTTAATATTGTATATAAAATTTTACAATCTTGGTATATCAAAGCAAACGATGACTAACAGTCACCTCTCAAGGATCAACAGAACTTTGCATATAAGAGCTAAGAAGGCACAGAAATGTTCCTAAATTTCATTCACTGATAATTAGCAATAAAGAAAGAGAAGATCATGTTCATCAAGTTTGTAAATCTTAATAGAAACAAAACCTTGAAAATACTTAGCTTTAACCCTTGGAAATCTTCCATTAGAAATATTCAACATTTTTCAATAGACAATATTCTTTTGAAACGATAAGTCAAGAAAGAAAGTAATTATTTCAATATTCCACAAACTTCTGGATTACACAAAACTTAATATTGTGTATAAGACTATCATTTTGAGTCATCTCTGAAGGATCGACAGAACAGATCACATAAAATCAAACAAGAAGGCATAGAAATGTTCCTAAATTTGATGTTCATCAAGTTTGATTGTAGATCTCAATAGAATCAAAACCTTGAAAATACTTAGCTTTAACCCTTGGAAATCTTCCATTAGAAATATTTAACATTCTTTTGAAACAAGAAACAAAGTAATTTTACACGAATCTCAATATTGCATAAGACTATCATATTGAGTCACTCTGAAGGATCAACAGAACAGATCACACAAGATCTACCAAGAAGCCCCAGAAAGTCTAAATTACCCAACGATTAAACTGTAGCCACTTCTATGTCCATTCATAGACGATGTCGAGTAGAAGAGAAGCGAACAAGGGTTACACGCAGCTGGCGATGAGGGTGGAACCTCCGGACGATGTTGACGCGGACGACACGACGGAGCTGATGACCTAGACCCACAAATCAAGCCCAGCGATGACAGGACCTCTCGTCAAAGAGTTTGACGAAGGTCGACCAGTCCCGATCACGACAGATCGACGCGTTTGCGTGGCGTCCACAGCCGAAGAGCGGTCCAAGTGATTCGTGGCAGAACAGGAAGGATTACCAGCAACCAGCCGAAGAGAACATAAGGTATATAAATCGAAGAGGAGGAATCCGTTCGAGGAAACAACGCAGAGAGGACAAAGGAACAAGAAAATTCGAAACGTGATAGTAAACTTTCTTTTCGCACTGTACGAAGTGTGGCTGTTCACTTAATTGATAGTGCGGTTGCGTGCGCGTCCGTGTGAATGGTGAACGAGATGTCTAGGTGCGAGTCTTTTCCGAGCGGTCAGGCGCGTCGCTGATCCTTTCGAACGCCGAATAACTGCGATGGAACACGAGAGCGAGCGAGCGAGAAGGGTAACGGACATTATAAAGTGCCTGATCCACAACACCCTCACGACCGCGCTTCCGTCTGCCCATTTTTACAACCTTTTATCAGGACCACGTCGAGCGACCGAGCAAATCGCGTCTCGATCGGCGATATCAGGGGAACCGGACCGCGGATGTGTCGTTCAGCTTCGAAATTCGTTGGTTCGTTCGGACGTATTAATAGAAAGTATTCATTAACGTTACACTATGGGAAAATGGTAGCGATAGGGGGCGGAAATAGGAAGACGGAAACGGCGAACGGGAAATCGACGGTACGGATAGAGTAGACACCTTTCCCCTCGCGACAGAGTTTGTACAGATTCGTTCTCGCGCGGCGAGCGGCCCGACGCGTGTATTCAGTCATTCCGTCATTTTCAGTCAGCGAATGTGCATTTTTATAACTGTTTGTTGTTATTGCTGCATTGTCTATGTGTTTTGTTTTGTTTAGTGGACTACGTGTTTTCGCGTTCCTCCCGCTTCGTTCTTTGTTTTATCAAATGGGGGAAAATGATGATGATGTAACGGGGTTGAGAGAGGAATCAGAGATTGGAGGATAGGAAACGAATTCTAACGCGATCGACACGCGAAAGCAGTGAATCGGTACCTTCAGGAGCTACTGTCCGCGCCTACCGTGTGAATATTGAATTTCTCCTCGTGATTTGATATAAAGCTATTATTGTACTTTTATGATGAACGCGATTATAAATATATACATATATACATATATATATATATCTATATACACACATACTCAGGCGTTTAAATATATTCTGAGTTCGTGTTCCCATTGAATTGTCATTGCTGCGTTTCCCGCTTCACTGTCTCCATTTATCCACAGCGCTGCCTGCTCTCGTCGTCAGCTGAGGTAAATACCTTTTTAATTATTTGTCGTTGCGGATATGTATATTTAACTGTTTATCTTGAAAGTGGCATTCATTCTTTGAAAGTTGTGAAGTTTTTTGAAGATTAGTTGTAATTGTTAGAATTCTAGGTAATGTTTTTTTAATGGTTTCTTTGTCTTTGTTAAGGGTTGAGCCACTTTCAAAATAAACTGTTCAATATGATTGATTTAACACAGATTTGTAAGCTGGTTTTGTTGGAATAGGGAAGCAACTGTTAACTGTTGAAGACTAAAACGCATTTTTGTGAAGAGTAACTAGTATTGCCAGAATATGATGGTCTCTTCATCTTTCTTTAGAAGATTGAGCCACTTTCAAGATAAACTGTTCAATATGCTTGTATTTATCACAGATTTGTAAGCTTTTGTTATAATAGAGAAGCAATTGTTAACTGTTGAAGAGTAAAACGCATTTTTGTGGAGAGCAACTAGTATTGCATTTTTCTAGTTTTCTAACGCCTTCGATGGCATTTGAAGGTAGAGAAAATATTTGTATTAAAGTATCGAAGATTTGGAACAGACATGTAATCGAAATTAAACATTGCAATTTACAAGAATGAAGATGTTTACAAGATACAACAGATTTTGGTAGTTCAAGTAAGTTTGGTAGTTAAATCAAATTTTGAAGAATAATCTGTATAATTTAGGTATAGCTCAGATTATCAGTCACTCGAAAATTTTTCCATCATCCTGCTCTCAATTTCCAAATCGTGCAAAGGAGATTTCACGATAGAAATCGGTATCAGAAATTAGAGAGCATTGCCAGCATGTTTACAATCTTACAAATCAAAATCTTAAGTGCCAACCGATTCACTTCACACGTTCGTCATCGAGTTCCGCGTACTTGTTCCGAGTTCTGCGATTTTTCAGTTCGAAACCGGACAGAGCCGGAATAAAAATCGTGATATATCGAGTCCCGTTGAAGGGGAGACGCGACGTTTCTTTGCGTTTCCTGATGCACGAAGAAGCTGTTGAGACGAGTGAAAAATCGAGGATTATACTCCGAGCAAAGCTATGATTTATAGATCCGCGCGGCGTCATGATTCACCGTCTGCTCTAGGTTTTGCCGGTATTTCGTCATCGCGTCGAAATATCCCGATGCATTAATCACCGGGCCATTTCGACAGATGACGAAGCGTCGAATTTGCCACTTAAATATGCATGCGGCCCTACGCTACATTAATTCCATATACGCGGGGAAATGAATTACTCGAACGCCATTACGTCGGTAATGGATTCTATTACGTCGCGCCGCTTTCTTTTATCTATCCGTCACGGTTAGACAACCAACAATTGACAATATTGTTGCGCGATTGATGGCCGATGGGCAACGACGTAATCGTGTTAATCCATTAGGCCTCCGCGAAATGTCGGATAGTCGAATATTGATTGATGGCAACGTCTAACAGTCGAATGTCAGATGTGCAAGAAACACAATATGCAGTATTGTTGATAATATAATCAAGGAATTTTTCTAATAAATTCACGGAGAATAATTAATCTTTAACTCGAAATATTCGACGCCGACACAGTGCGGCGTAATGGCCGCTCGCCGGGCGAAACTCGGTAACTTCACGCTGGAACTTCGAAATTCAGCCATTTTGCAATCTATTTTGCAAGTATTTTGATCTAATTACTCGGTAGATCTAGTATTGATGGAAAATTGTAAGGATTTGACCTTACACCAACAAATGTCGACGTTTCGAGATGAAATGTTCGCATTTCGGAGACTAAATCGCAAACAAATGATATAATTATTCCAACAGCGAGATATCGATGCATAGTTTCCTTCTTTAATTACTGAAGCAATTATATAATTTAGCTTCGTCTGCTGAAGATGCTAAAACTTCTTACTTTCCGAATCGAACATAATAAACCTTATGAATGATTGAATCATCTATCCAATTCTCGTTTCGCAATTTTTAAACAGGTTTCTTAACGTTAACAGATACTTCATTGCTACTTCAACTCTTCGTCGAACGCAGTATCGGCTAAAGCAGTTGGAACAGCGAATTTCCCGACGAATTCCTGCTAATTCGCAGCAAATTACGTCGAAAGGAACGGCTTATACTAAATCCCCCGAAAATAATCACAACTAATGACGCCGGGGTAGATTACACGGTGTTAAAGAAGCTATACTGCACACGTTACAACCGACGATCGACGTCAAGGGAGGCCCTGATATATGTCGCGCCGATATACCGATCGAGATAACGGGTTCCCCGATAAATTCGGTAACGATAATTCGTGCGCCCCTACTTTTATCAGGCTGTGCGTCGTAGCGTAAGCGGATATCGTAAATTCGTAAAGGCAAATCCCACTTGCTGCGCGCATGTGCGACGGTTTTATCGCCGTATCACTTTAATTATATCGGCCGCGACTATCCTGCGTCAATCTGCTCCAATTTTCGATCTGTATCTGCGAAAATTATTCTTCTATAGAACTTTCTAATCTTCTCGATAGAGATATTTTGGGTAGCTTAATTGACTTATAATTCAGTTTGGGCAAAGTCACCTTTCGTTTCTCGAATAATTTATACTTTTCAGCTTTAATAAAAAGTAAGCAATAATTGACTTTCTGAAATTTCTCAGAGAAACTCCAAGAGTCTATTGAGAATTAAATCAAATTCTTCAACAATTACTCAGAGAAACATCTGTCTTAACACTAGAACTACCGAGTACTTAATACAATTAATATGCAATTTCTGTACAAATTGTAACAGTAGATTATTTTCAGTTTCTTCAGACATTCATTGGAGTATTCAAATGAAACTATTTATTTTCAAAATAATTTCGAATATTCAATGCTTCAAAGATGTCAATAATTGCTAAACAAAAGAATCGAAACTAGTCATTTTGACTGTTACGGTAGTTCTACTGTTAACAATTGCAAAAGGAAGAAATAAGGAACATTTTCACTCTAGTTTTAGTGTCAATTCGTCACCCTCCAAGCAAATTGAACATTAAGGAAAACTGAGTTCCCACAATTTAGAAACACCCTGTATAACTAAAGCAATACATGACTTGTATCTCAATAATATCAAACAAGGCAAACTGAAATATTTTTCAAACTTACACATTTTTCAAAAACAAAACCTATACTTCCTCAAAACATTCGCTGTATTCAACTGAAAGAAAATTAACCCTTTGCGGACGAACGTCGAAATTTCGAGATGAAACGTTCAAATTAGGAATACTAAATCGCAAACAAATGATTCAATTACTCGAATGCCCAGTCAAATTGAATTACTATAGTTCATTCAATAAAACGACGATTATTTGAAAACATTTCTATATTATACATAATGTTACCTGATACGGTGACATTCAGCTGGATGATGCAATAATAATAATAATGCAATTCAATCAAATGATTTAATACCATATCTCTTCCATTTTGTATATTTTGCTGTACGAAATCATGCGGCATTCAACGTGTTAATTACTCGAACAGCAAGATTAGCATGTAGTTTCTGTTTTCGCTATTACATAAGCAATTAACGTATAATTTAGCTTCATCCGTTGATTTTCTACATAAGAATCTTCGTCAAGGGTTAACCCCATAGGCAGCAAGAAATAGCTTATTCCGTCAAATTTCTTCTTCCTCCGAAGCATTTCACTAGCGGAGCAATCGGAGGCAGCTTAAAATTCGAAAATTTCATCCATTTCCTCCGGCCGCCATGCCGTACGAACCAAGAAGCCGATTAGACGCGCCGTAATAAAGGAGAATCGAACGCTTTATTAGGTACATCGCGGAGAAGTAACAGAATTCCGGCGGAAAAGTGAACGGGACGCGATCAGATCGGAAGCAACTTTTAAAGATACGAAATAAGGAGCAGGCAATTCAAAGGGGCGGCCGCCGCGCTCGCGGTAAAAGGAAGCGGAGCATTATTGGCCGTATCCGAGATAATGCGACCCTTTAAATTCTTTCGCGACTGAAATTGCAGCTTCCCGGCTCGCCGCTAAATTCGAGTACGTTTCTTATTGATTTATTAGGGAAATGAAAGGTAACTTTAGCCACTCTACGCGCAATGGCGTCTGCGAGTGCGCCATTTTGTCGGCCTCTCCGAGACGTGAAATGGATGTTCGAAAGTGCTTTGAATTTATTGCTTTATGTTACTTAATTATTGTCCGTTTGGATGTTATTTGGATGGTCCGTGTTTTGAATTTATTGCTTTATGTTAATTATTGTCCATTGACATACATTGCAATGCAAATTTTAAAGGAAATGTTCCGTTTGGTTAATTAAACTTTTTCGAATATGAGAAATCAGTGAATGCAAATTAGTTTGAGGTGTTACTGTTAACAGGTTTATCTTGCTGAATGACAGCGTTATTCGACGTCATGTTCCGAATACTAAATACTATGTAAATCATTCACAGCAAGAAATCAGGCCTAAGTATTAATATATGCACTTAGATAGTGACAAATGCACAATAGAACCTCAGGCTGCTTATTTAAATCTCTGCGTAAAGTGGTTTTTAATGATTTTTTATCAATAGTTCTCGGTCCGATGGTCAGGTTTAATCGAATCAGTATAAATGGTACTCAGCGAAGAATTCGTCGTGATTTCCGGAAGAATCTTCCGAGTGTAAACAAGATCCGAGTTATAAGTCCATAATATTTCGTTCGAAGATGCAAGGGAATTTAGTACAGACTGTTTTCAGTTTTATCGCGATACTCGCTGGTTTTTTCGGCTTGCTGATTAACTTTGTGGAACCCTATTTACCTGGTTTGATAAGACGTGTATATTGTTATGGCAAGTTTCCTCGTAATACTTACCAGCCACCTAGAATCAAAGTAGAAATACCTAAAAGGTGAGCAAGGAAAATATAACAATGCCTATTTAGTGGTAATGAATACTAATGTTTTAGATGGTACAAACATTGCTATGTTTTCGCTGCGCCAACTGTGAGTTACATATTGTATTTGGTAATTGGTAAATATATGTGGGATGGTAACGTACCGAAAAGTGTTACGTGGGTACTGAATGTGGGTTTAGGGACAAACAGGCAATCATTAGGTAAGTGCAGTCTAATTATTAACAGTTATGCAGTTATTTTTTAATTCCCATTTCGCAATTACACTTTTAGTGTCTCCAGAAAATACATTAATAGCTATCTCGGCTTTAACTTTTCATTGTTGGAAGCGATTTTATGAAACACACTATGTAAATGTTTTTAGTGATAGCAAGATGAATATATTTCATTACATGATTATATATCCTCATTATGTGGGATGTTTGACATGCATTATAGGAGAATCTGAAGGATTTGTTGAAGGTAATTTTGTTCTCAAGTGTTTAACATTCTTTTAACTAGCATTTCTATCTAGCTGTACTGTGACACTAAATTTGCTGTTACATGCGAGTGTTCTTGAACTTTTTATTGCAGGCTCTGAAGGCCATCTTTCCTGGAGAAGAGTTACTTATTCTAAACTAATTTGTGCACTGGTTATTGTGTTAGCATCGTATACTCAACTTAGAACAAATTATATTCTTAGTAATTTGCGGAAAGATAAAAATGGTAAAGTCACTTCTACGGAGCATAAAATACCATATGGTGGTCTTTTCGAGTATATATCAGGTGCATTGCAGATTTCAGAGATAACTGTTTATGTGTGCTTGTCAATAATTTTATGGCGAAGCTCTTCTTTTCATTATATCACGACATGGGTCTTAATAAATCAGGTATAAACAATCCCATTATATCAACTATGCATACTAGGAACTATTTACATTTATTTCTTCCTTTTTCCAGACATGTACCTCGATATTAACGCATAGGTGGTACTTGAAAACGTTTAAAAATTATCCAAAATCAAGGAAAATTCTAATACCTTACCTCTTCTGAATATAATTATAATTATTTAAAATATTTGTTAAATGATTATATCGTTTGTAACGTTAAAGGTTTTTGTATTTCAGGAATGTATACATAAACAATGTTAAAGAATGTATACATAAATATGTTATAAATGACCTTAAACATTCATTTATTTTACGATATTACATAATTTATTTTATCAACAATACCGTACCGACTGTCATTAAAAATCTCCATTTTTTCCACTGCCATGTCCTAAGTCGATATGGCAGAACGTCACATGAAAATGATAAGTCTATGTAGGTAACCCATCGACCACGTGACAAAAATTAACATTGGAGTCCAATCTATACTGTCTCTGTTCCTGGTGGCAGAATCAGGTTGTATGTCGGTGCAGCAGGATGTGACACAAAAATGGTAAAATGGTAAAATATACATACCTTGTCTATAATTAAATGAAAACTAAATACACGTTGAAAATAAAATTGTTATATAGTTCTAAGACGTATTAACATTTCTATATAATTTTTGTATAATTATTTAATTCAAGGTTCAAATCGATGCACAATGGCACTGTAGTAGCATTCTCAGGAAAAATTACCCTCTCCATACTTACTTCTAACTGTTGCATAGAACTTTTGTAAACGTACACAATTTGGAGCAGTTCTTTGAGCAAGGTGGTAGGGAAATGCTGTTTTTGAGTTGCTAGTGTGAGGGGAGTAAGTTAGCACCTCTGATTTACTGTCATTTTTCTTTTACCATTAAATTGAAATATCTAAACGATATAGGAAACAGTTGTGTATTTTCTAAACAGTGCTCACTTTTATTTATGTGGACAGAATATTTATATTAATTGAATTGTTAGTAATTTGGTATTTGCAAGTTTACTTACATATACGACCGAGTGAATTGTATATGCAGTAGTATATAGGTACTGCATATGGAATTTCTTTATGAGTCACTATGTAAGTATATATTTATTGTACTTAAGGACATAATACTTATATACATGTAGTTATTTGTAAACAAATTTAAGGATTCCAAGTGCTTGCTGAAGTTCTATAATATAATTTGTATTTAAGAGGAAATATTGTATATTTAACTGTAATTATATTTTTGATTAAAGTATAGTATTTAGTAGGTAAATTAAATTATCTGTGAAATATGTTTGTTTTATGTATTTAATATGCATATCAGCATAAATGATGCAGTATTGTGAGCTTCAACTAATTTTGTAATCATACATATGTCATAGATAATGGCCAAGTCGGATAATATTAAAGACTATACTGTTGCTACGGAAGAAAGTATTCTCGTATGTACACATTTATTTATTGACTTATAATTATAAATATTGTCATCAACTGTAATTCTCTTGTACTTTATTTCTTACTAAAACGGATTTCGTTGCATTACATTTATAATATATTTCCCAGAGCTTCGCTTCATATTTTGTGTTAACACAATTATTATTTTTCATTTTTACTGGTAATTTGATTGTCACGTGCAGTGTGGTGATGGTATGAAAGAACACCTTGAGCCTAGATTCGAGTGTCCTATTTGTTTAAATTGGCTACGCGATCCAGTTTTAACATCTTGTGGTCATAAATTCTGTTCGCAATGTATATACACTTGGCTTCAGTAAGTTACATTACGAATGTAAAGTTAACAAACATATTTACATATATATATATATCTGTACATAGAATTTATGTTTACCAAATAATTTTTATTTGTAGAAAGGAAGGTGCTTGTTGTCCAGTTGATAGTCGGCCATTAAAATCAGAAAGTGATTTATTCAGAGATTTATATACAAGCAGGGAGATATCACAACAACGGACACCTTGTCCTTATCAACAGTTTGGTTGTGAGATTAAATTATCTCCAGTGGATATGGAAGCTCATACAAATAAATGTACATATAAAAGAAGTCTTCCAAATTCACAAAATGTTTATTGCCATTTTAAAAATGTTGGCTGTATAGAAGTCTTTAATAGAGAAGATGATTTGCATGCACATTTAGAGACAAATATTAGCCTCCATTTAACTGTTAGTCCCTTTTATTTTCAATTTGATTATATTCATTCCGAATATAGACATCTGACTAGCCACCTATTTTGTAGATGATTTTAAAAACATTACCACAGTCGTCAACAGCGCAAAATCATGCAAATGCACTAGCTGCTGAATCAAAATTATGGGACCCGCCACCCAAAGGTGCAACATCTATGACTAATAATGAACCATCGTTAGAGTGGCAACAGTTGTTGAAGTAAATCCAATCTTATTTTTCATGCAAATCATTTTCAAACACCAAAGTACCATATATCTCTTTTTTAGGAATCTCTATGAAAGAATAGTGATACTGGAGCAGCAAAACAAAGAACTTTCCATTACCGTATCCAATCAAAAAACTCAACTTACAACCTTGCAAACTTCTCTGAGATTCAATCAGGAAGAAATGTTTTTGCGTAGCTGTAATGGTGTTTATATTTGGAGATTACATTCCTTTCATGAAAAGCTTGAAAGTATGATGACCGATTCTTTAAAAATGTTTTATAGTCCTGGTTTCTACACCAGTCCTAATGGATATAAAATATGCGCTAGAATTAATATATCCTCAAAAGATCCAGAATTTCTGTCGGTGCTTCTTCATATAATGAAATCAGAAAATGACGATGGCTTGGATTGGCCATTTAATGGTATAATGCACTTTATTTTAGTGCATCCACATAACCAAGAAAAAGATATACGAGAAATAACTTCATCGAAACCAGATCTAGAAGCATTTAGAAAACCTATTTGTGAACTGAATAAACGGAGTTTCGGTTATACAGAATTTGTACGAGTCCGAGACTTACCAGACTTTTTACAAAACGATTGCTTAATCTTTAGGATCGAAGTTCGTACTCAAGATAGATTAAATATGTTAATATAATGCTAATTGTTTGAGTCAGTTACTCTAAATACAAGTATTAGTTTTATTTTACTATGGTGGGTGAGTTGTAAATTACACTGAATACTACATTTTTGTACATTTTCTGCTGGCATCTTTTCTACGTGTATCCTTCATTGCAGTATGTACTAAGAAAAACTTGTATATTTTATATTAATTATTAATTTTAGGTTCTAAGTTAATTTAGAATATTTATATGTAATGGAACAAAGTCCGTCCCTTAATTATTCTTGTAATATAAACAGCGCTTATAATATAAATAAACTTTGTAAATTATAATTATCTGTAAAGTTTCTAAAATATTACTCTTTAATATTATTAAAATAATTAACACATTTACCAGTAACTTAAACGTTGTTTAATAAATGTAATTGCAGATTATTGTTATTATTTAATTAATTGTTTTTTTAATTGTTACAGTAACTTGTGGTGTATCCAAGAATAGTACAGGTCACGTTCAAAAGAATTTTCTAAGTACAAACAAGATCCGAGTTATATACTGAGTCTCTAATACAATTTAATTCCAAAATGCAATTAAATTTCATAAATATTGTGTTTAGTTTTGCTGCAATATTTACTGGTATTTTTGGCTTACTGGTTAATTTTGTGGAACCTTATTTACCTGTTTCAATAACACGTACATATCGTTATGGCAAGTATTCTGATAATACTTACCAGCCAATTGTAGCGAAAGCAGAAGTACCTAAAAGGTGAGTAAGGAAAATATATCAATACCTATTTAAAGTAATAAATACTAATGTTTTAGATGGTTCAAACATTTCTATGTTCTTGCTGCACCAGCTTCAAGTTACATATTATATTTGGTAATTGATAAATATATGTGGAATGGTAACGTACCAAAGAGTGTTATGTGGGTATTGAATATGGGTTTAGGAACAAATAGGCAATCATTAGGTGAGTGCAGTCTACCAAATTATTAACAGTTATGCATTTATTTTTTAATTTTCATTTCGCAATTATACTTCTAGTATCTGCAGAAAATACATTTATAGCTATTTTGGTTTTCACTCCTCATTGTTGGAAACGATTTTATGAAACACATTATGTAAATATTTTTAGTGATAAAATGATGAATATATCTCATTATTTAATTGGACTTTATCATTATGTGGGAACTTTAATGTGCGTTATAGGTGAATCTGAAGGATTTATTGAAGGTAATTTTGTTTTCAAATGTTTAAAATTCTTTTAACAAGCATTTCTATTTAGCTGTACGACTGTGACACTAAATTTGCTGTTATATGCAAATGTTTTTGAACTTTTTATTGCAGGTTCTGAAAGCCATCTTTCCTGGAGAAGAGTTACTTATTCTAAACTAATTTGTGCACTGGTTATTGTGTTAGCATCGTATACTCAACTTAGAGCTAATTATATTCTTAGCAATTTGCGAAAAGATAAAAATGGTAAAGTCACTTCTACGGAGCATAAAATACCATATGGTGGTCTTTTCGAGTATGTGTCAGGTGCATTACAGATTACAGAGATAACTATTTATGTATGCATGTCAATAATTTTATGGCAAAGCTCTTCATTTCATTGTGTCACAATATGGGTCTTAGTAAATCAGGTACAAAAAATCCCATTATATCAATTATGCATACTAGAAACTATTTACATTTATTTCTTCCTTTTTTTTAGATATCTACCGCAGCATTAACGCATAAGTGGTACTTGAAAACATTTAAAAATTATCCAAAATCAAGGAAAATTTTACTACCTTATCTCTTCTGAATATAATTATAATTATTTAAAATATTTATTAAATGGTTATATCGTTTGTAACGTTAAAAGTGTTTGTATTTCAGGAATGTATACATAAACAATATTAAAGAATAATGACCTTAAATATTCATTTATTTTACAGTACATATAAATAAATGTAAATTGTGATTATGATGTAACAATTAACAAATACGAGAACTTAAATATTATGTTCAAATCCTTTTATTATGCATCTTAGTACTTAATATTGGTGGGCAAGTTGAAAGTTTCTTTTGCAATATATACAAATGATGACTTCCTACACTTACTCCTTTTATTTGAACAGTAAACTGCAACAGATCAATTATTCTTCACTAAATTAAATCGTAATATTGATTGTTCGGAAAATATAAAAAATGGAGTATATTAATATGTTCATTTTATAACGTTAAGAATATATTAATATACTCCATGTTGATAATAATAATTAATGACTGCTTCTAAATAATTTGATTTTCCCATACCTGTAAGGATATCCTTGTGCTTTGTTCCTAAATGTGGATAACAATAGACTGAAAAAGATGGCGACTAATGCCGCGCCTATCGCAGCAAATATACGTCGCTTTTTTACATCACCTTTACGAGATGCAGCTTCAGTCATTAAAATCATGCCTAATACCACAGCTCCATTTAAAACCATAACTATATATGTTTCCAGTATAAACTGAGCTTGAGAAGAAGTATGAATGTACGCCACATTCCCACTGGATGATTTATGTATAAATGGAGGTGCTCTAATGTGATTCCACATTTGTCCAGAAATCATTGTAAGTGTGAAAAACTGTAAAAAATATTATTTTAAAGGAAATCAGCATAGAAATTATCTAGGTTACAATATAGTATATTACCAGTGCACCAAGTCCCCAAATTGTTTTATTGTAGATGAAGTCTAAATTATTGCGTCTTACATACAAGAATCCTCCAATAAGTACCAGTAACATAATTATTGCTACTGTTCCAGAATAGTTTGGTGGTCTAAATACTCTAATCTATAACGTGTTAAAAAATGTTATAAACAAGTTTAGTTTACTCTTATCATGCATATATTTGTAATCACCTGAATATCAGTGCGCTCAGATATCCATTTTGCAATTGCTTCTGCACTAAATCCTATTCTTTGAATATCCATGGTATCTGCAGGCTTTGGCTTTCCTTTCGGAGGAAAGTGCATATAGACCGGCGCAGTATTCAGTCTCATCTACAAAGCAACTCCAGTTAAACAAAAGCATATTATTATTATTCTAAATAACCAATGTTTTTAATACCATTTGAAATACGTCTGATCCTTCATCAAAGTCTACAGAAGCAAAGAATAACTTCTTCGAATGAGACTGCAGATATCTAAATGAATTTGCAACTATCACAAATTCATCATCCGCGTATCTGCAAAACAATGATTATATGAATATCACAAACATGGTTTCCACATTACAAATCATTTATAATGAAGAAAAACAATTACCTGCAAATTTGACATTGCCTTTGAGGTGCTCTAGCAGTGAACATAACTATAACAGAATAATTTCTCGGTGTAGTGCGTACATATTCCTTAAACTTTGCTCCATTAAATTTGATTACAGGTCTTGTGAGAGCCAGCTCTGTTAATTGTTGTACACGATCTGATAAGGAGGAGCCTTGGGTCTGAAATAAACAGGTAAGCCATAAATAACACTGAAATTATTAATTTTTAGGTTACCAATTATAGGTTAAGTACATTAAACTATTACATGGGAAAGTTACAAATAACATACACTATTCTTTACAATGACTGACAAAAACTAGCTATTAAAATTCATGAAAAATTTCTGAAAATAAGCCCAAGTAATTAATAGAGTAATTAACTTATATATGACAGGTATTGTAAAGGTAAAAAATTCTTACATTTTTGGTCCTATATTGACAACAAACATAATTTAAACTCAAAACTAGCCCTAAAAATATAATGTACTGTCTACAGTCCATTTTAAACAACTATCCCAGTAACTTTTTACACTTTTAAGTCCAGAACACGTTACAGCTGTAGAACCATAGATAACTCATTGGCGTATTCAATACAACGTGGCATTTGACGTATATACCTGCCGGTACTCTACATTCTGACAACTTTGATATTAATAAGAATATATTAATTGCATAATAAAATATTTAACATGAACTTTTCATTTACTATCGTTAACTACTGATAAATAAAATACAGATTATCCTATATTCAATAAATTTAATAATTTTTTAATATCTCTCACAAATTCATTGAAAATAGATAATATGTGTGATTTAATATAAAATTTTATATTAGTAATTAAACATTCTTTATTATTTATCAATTAACTATGTAAAATTATTACTTTAATCGAAACGGCCATCTTAGAACAAGATTAGCAGTTTTCTGTTTCTTTGAATGCCATTGATTTTTTAGTTTCCTACGTTTATTATTAGATGGCATTATCGCCTACTTAATGAATAATTAAATAACAAAATATTGATTTAATTACTTTTTTATTTAATTAAGGTACACACTTTGAGATTTTCTTAGCATTATTCACATCAAATTCGAATAAACAATTTGTCATGTGTAAAATCTGCATTTTATTCTATTTGTATTATTGTTTCTATTACTTTTTATTGTATTATTTTTTTTATTACTTTTTATAGTATAATTTCAATGTGAAGCATATAGTCTTCATTATTCACGACAATAATAAATCTTCAACAGACTAATGTCATTAAATTTTTTAAATAAAAATGAATGAAAACAAAATAAATATTTCATTATATAAAGCAATGTTAAATATAATCACAATTAACGTCAATCTAACATAAAATCAAAATTAATCAGAACAGGGTGCGAAGACAAGAAAATCTTTAAATTTCGTTGTGCAAAGGAATATTAATATTATTAATATTATTAATATTATTAATATTATTTGTACATTGAATCATTTGTTTTGTTACACTGATGTTAATTGTGATTATGTTTAACCCTTTGCGGACGAAGATTCTTTGAAATGTACGAAACCTTCAAGAGATAGAGATAAATTGTATATCAATTGCATAATTAATAGAAAAAAGGGAAACTACATCCTAATCTCTTGCTGTTCAAATAATTAAATCATTTGTCTGCGACTTAGGCTTCCAAATATGAACATTTCATCTCGTCTAGACTAATTGTAAGTCGCAGACAAATGATTTAATTACTTGAACAACAAGAGATTAGAACGTCGTTTCCCTTTTTTCTATTAATTAAGCAATTGATGTATAATTTTGGTTAGAAAGGTTACATTTCAAAGAATCTTCGCCCGCAAAGGGTTAAACGTCGATTAACGTCAATCCAATATAAAATCAAGATTGCTCAGAACAGGGTGCAAAGACATTTAATCTTTAAATGTCGAGATGCGAATGAAGAATAGCAGGGAAGGGTCCGAAGATGTCACGGGGCTGATTTTATTGCAATATACGGAGGTAGGGAGGACGAGAACGTTACAGGGTACACCTGGTAACTTCGCATTCCTATAGAGACTCGATGCACCCGAAAACAGCTGTTTCCTACGTGCAATATAACACCCGCCAAAACGGGAATCATTACTATCAATTTTCCTGTTCTACTCCTTGCCAATGTTGAATAAATTCCACTGAAAGTAGAATCTTCATTGTATACATTATTTTTGCAAGTATCGAAGGATGTAGCTTCATTTGAAATTTCAGGTGAAACATTGCGCGGGAATGGTCTTTTTCTTCCCCTTGGACTCCTCAGGGGTGTACCTACCAATTTCACCTCTGAACTCCGATTTTCTGTTAGGAAAATTGTAATATTTTCGGTTTTGTAATTCAAAGTTCGTCAGGTTCCTTGAATTGTCTATTTTGGCATTGCACATTTGCAATTCTTTTTCATTCATCCTTCCTCTTATTAAATATTCTTCAGAATTTTACCACAATCTATTTCTATGTTTTATGTTAACAATTACTTATGCTAAATTTGGAATTTTAAACTTTCTGCAGGACTCAGAATTAGTTCGCAAATCCACGTCAATTTTAAACAAATTCAACTGTCTCTACCCTTTAAACAATCTTCTGAATGATGTATTAAGCTGCTCCATAAGTTTTTTATGGTTTAATTGCAATGATTCGTTAGAAATGCTGGAAAGACAGACTTTTGGAGAAAAGAAAGAAAATAGATTGATGGAAGATGCATTGACTACATCAATAAAATGAAAGGTACTTTCGAGACAAGCTAATACTACAGAATATTAAATAAATGGCGAAGAAGGTCGCTATTTTGTAAACAATCTTCTGTATAGTGTATTAAACTTCCCCATAAGATCTTCACGATCTAATTGCAAAAGAAGATAGATTAACAAAATGAAAAGTACTTTCGAGACAAGCAACTATTAAATATCAAAGCCGAGAATTGCTACGCTACTGGAAGAATGGGTGGGCCATCAGCAACGGATTGGCCCGTTGCGCAACGGAGGCCCGTTGATTCGTCGTCTCGTGCACATGGTCCGAAATAACTGCCTTTTCAAATCAGAAAAACCGGTACGTTGCGCCAAGGGACGTCTGCACGAAGGGTGGGCGATGGAATCGCATTCGCGGTTCAGGATTCGACGCGTGAAGACGTGTCATGTATTTCTAAGCTTCCTTTTCGAGTTCCTTCATTAAACCTGTTATTCATCTAACGTTTTGTTTATTGCGTGTGTCACTTGTTTTTCAAATTATCCCACCATGTCGTTCTCGAAAGCCAAAATCCAGAGATTCAACGAATTCAAAAGTAAGTACTCAACTCTCTGCACTAAACTAGTCTATCGAGACTTTGATTGATTTAGCATTTAGAAATATCTCTTACCTTTTAATTATTGCAAAATGAAAATCAGGAAGGGGTCACTTTGACTAATTTGGTGGTAGTATTAACGTTTTCGAAATTTGTTTATAAATGCATTTTCTACGTTGTGTTAACATTGTCTTGTTTATTTTGAGAGTCCTGAACTTAACTTTTTGCCGGGAAACTTATTATATATTATTATAAATTATACATCGAATGCTTAAACGATAGAAACACTCTCTTGCTGTTCGAGTAATTAAATCATTGGTTTAACTTAGTGCTCCAAATACGAACATCTCGCAAAATGTCGACATTTCGCAAAGGACGTTTCAGCGGGAACTCTTCTGTTCCATTGTTTAAATTTACATTATTCATTTACTGAAGAATGATTATTGCTTGATATAGTTCCTTAATACGATTCTCATTGTGTATACATTGAAAGATTGAATAAAAGATTGCCAAAGCAAACGGTTGTAGTTCATTCTTTGAAGATCGATACGATTGAACGGTGATTATTGTTTAATATAGTTTCTTAATACGATTCTCATTGTGTGAATATTGGAATGTTGAGTAAAAGTTGTAGTTTATTTGGAGAATATTAATATACTGCGAACTTAATGAATTAATCGAACGTACGCATTGTATCTTGGCGCAAGTACTTTGCATTTCCATTTCGCTAAAAACTAACTACCAGATTTCTTCTTTTGCAATTATTAAGACACGTTCTGAATTATTGTGTAATAACAGTGTGCAAATTGAATAGAAAATTAATTATAGCCTGAACAAACGCTTCGAGTTTCTACAGAGTTTCAACTGTCGGTAGTTTTGGAGTTAAGAATCCAAAAGTTTCTCACTGGAAATACTCGACATTTCCTAGCGAGATACATCTTTTGAAACTATGCTGAGATTGCACAGAAATTGACATTGATTCATTGCACAAAGTTTAATAAATATCAAATTTTGTTGTCAAATCAATTTGCGACTGAGCCTCTAGACTGCAAAGTTTCAATGTTCATTTCATTAGAATAAATTCACTCTAGTCAAACTAGTATCAATAACTGTAACATAAATAAACTAATGACAATATCAAGTGAAGAACACAAGAGTAAACTAATATTGTACAAAGTTTAATAAATATCAAACTTCGTTGTCAAATCAATTTGCGACTGAGCCTTTAGACTGCAAAGTTTCAATTTTCATTTCATGATTAGAATAAATTCTGATAACTGTAATATAAATAAACTAATGACAATATCAAGCGAAGAACACAAGAGTAAACTAATTGGAGGTTTAAATATTGCGCAAGGGTGGCAGGGAAGAAGCGAGAGGAAGTGAAACGGAGGGTCAGTTTCGTTGCAGGGTGCACCTGGTAATTCTATGACCCCATACAGACGTAACCGTCTCCACGGTGTACTGTGAAGTGAATAAAATTTCCCATGACGGTGTGCCCCTCGCATTTAAAAACCACACTCCCCTACTGTCGCGTCCGTTTCTCACGTATCGCCCGTTGCACGAGAACTTCTTTTCTCCCCTGCCGATCGACGTTTCTTTTGTCTAATCGATACGGGAATAAAAATTATACACTGCGCAGTAATAGAAAAAATTCAAAAAACGTTCAATAAAAATATGAAATGTTAGAAACGTTAGAATGTTTAAGAACAGTTGAGTTAAATGAAAAAATTACGCCGTAAATATAACGGCAGTAATAGAAAAAAATTCAGAAAATGTTCAATAAAAATATGAAATGTTAGATACGTTAGGACGTTTAACAGTTGAGTTAAATGAAAAAACGTCAAAACGTTAAACATTCGATCTTCTATTTCGGTGAGCTCTTCTTTACCGTCTGAGTCCGAGCGACAAGATGGCGCTTCTCTTACATTACATTACATTGTTTCGGAGTTTTCATAATTATTCATTTTTATTTCTTTTAACGATCGCACTATTTAATTTGTTCATGTAAAAATAGAAAAGTAGTTTCTAAATTTAAAGGAAAAAGGTTTTAATATGTAGCATTCCGTTTTAAAAAATGGTCACCCTTGTTATAAAAATGTTAAAAGTACAAGAGAATTTAGATATGATATAGTATTGCTAGGAAAATGTACAAATTTCTCTAAATAAACTATGTTATTCGCTAGAATTGAATAACAAATGTTTACAGACAATGTCCCTCCACCAGGAGCGTACGACCCGAAATTTGACACGAAGGTGAAGGGATTGGTGATCGAGAAGACAGAGAGATTCAACGACAATAAGAGCGTAGTCAGCGCGGAATGCAATTTGTCGGTCTCCGACAAGAGCACTGGCAACGCGGTGCCCAGTTTCAGAACGGTGAGAAATGAATAATAGAATTCAAATCATAATTTGCTAATTCAAAGCATAATTTCACACTAGAACTAGTTCGGATTCCTTGTTTCGCAATGATACCTTAAACATTGGAATGATTAATGATTTCGAAAACAGCTTTGAATATTCGAAGAAACTGAGAAAACTATTACAAATTTTATAGAATTACATATCAATCATATTGAATGCTTAATTGTTAATTGTTTTCATCTATTTAGCTCCAACTTAAGTAATTTTAAGTTAGCTAATTGCTACAATTTTTATAGGACATGTCAATCATATTGAATGCTTAATTTTTGATAATTGCAAGAATTAGTTTTCAGTAACTTAAGTAATTTTAAGTTAGTTAATCGTTACAATTTTCATGGGATCACATATCAATTATGAATGCTTTGTAGTTCTAGCGTTAATTGTTGCAAGAATTAGTTTTCAGCTGTTTAACTAAGTAATTTCAAGTTGGAGCTAAGGAATTGAGTAATTTTCTCTTTAATTATATTTCCTCCATTGAACCTTGGACATTTCCTATACAATTTGAAGAAACCTCGACGAACGATTTGAAACTCTCAATGACGTTTCTATAAACTAATGATCTTTGGTTTCAGCCGCAACTTCCGCGGAAGAAAACGACTACAAGGCCATGTTCGAAGACAAAGCCGCGAGCGCTTCTTCCCAGCGACAGCAAATTGAAGTACAAATCGGAGCACCAGCTCGCTGATCTGCAGATAGAATGCGAGAACAAGAACAAGACTATACAAGAGTACGAGAAGTACATCGAGGAGATAAAGGAAGATCGGAAGAAGTTGGAGTCGCAGCTGGAAGAGCTGCTCAGGAAGCAAACGGAAGTGGAAGGACAGTACAAAAAGGACATCGAGACAATGGTGAGCAAACATTTTATTCGAAAATAAATAATAGCACGTTTAATGAGTAATAGAAATAATTAATAATTAATGAGTAATAGTAATAATTAATAAGTAATAGCAACTTTATGTGTTTATCATGTGATTTTTATTTTTAGGCGAACTTGCAGTTGGAAGTATTGAACAGTCACGACGAGAAGCACCAAATAGAAATGAAACGCGTTCGCTGTCAGCTTTTGGAAATTTCAGAGGAGAAGGAGCAGGAAGTTCGTACTAGGAAAACCATGGAGAACGACCTTAGAAACCGCATCGAGGATTTGGTGAAGAGAATAGCTGTGCTGGAGTCTGAACTGGAGAAGAAGAGGCAGGATAACGAGGACAAAGTAATTTCGTGTTGAGTTAGAATGTCGCGATGAAGGTTTCGAATAGAATAATTCAATTCGATTAAGAATTAAAATAGAATTAATAGTTCTAATCAATTAATTAGAATAGAATTAACAGTTCTATTCACCTAATTCAAATAGAATGAATAATTCAATTCAATTAATTCAAATAAGAATAAAGTGGCTACATTGTTCACAGTTCATAAAGAAATCATAGAGACATCATCATTACTATTCATTTATTCTTTAAGATATACGATGATTCTGACTGTTGTATCGGTTTCTAGACTCAAACGCTCGAAAAAGAGGTCGAAGATTTGACGATGCAGTTAGAGAAGTTAAGCGTACTCCGCACGCAGGAAGTGAGTATACTGGAGGAAGAAAAGTATAAATTAAACGTGGATATCGGTCGTCTGACCGATCAACTTGCCGAATGCGACGAGAGGTTGAAGGAAGCGATCGCCGAGGGCGACGAGAAAGTGAGTCTCGAGTTATTCCGCGCAAACTGTCGCTCAATTATCTCCTAATTGTAATAATCAATTGCGAAAGATCAATTCAGAAATATCAGAAATTCTTCTAATTTCAAAGACATTTACGATCGGTTAACACCGATCGATTTTTCTTCTGTACCAAAGAAAAGCAGGAGCAATTGTTAATTATTTGACGTTGCAATGTTGCATTACACTATCATCAACTTAGTTACATTATTAAATATTTGAATTTTATATCGGTTATCTCGTTTGTTACGATTGTTTCCTAGTCATTCGTTAACGAAATAATATGCACGCAGGTGAACGCGATGATTAGAGAAGCAACGATTGCAGTGAAAGAAGAGATGCAGAGAACCGCGGAGAGATACAAGACGTGTTTAGCTCGAGTGGAGAGGGAACGAGCGGAATTGGACGAGAAACTGTTGCTGAAGGATGCCGAGATCTCCAGACTGTCCATAATGCTCGAGGAACTGAAAACCTCCGCTGAAACCCAGGTAAACAAGTAGAATACGAGTCTATTCAATCAGAAAACGTTACGTTTTCATTCTACTGGCGAACGAACCGTGGATCTTCGCCGAGAGGACGTCGGTATGCGAGGATTTAAGTGATTACATTTATGCACGTCGTGCAGGGTTTGTTGCCTGTGTTTATAATCAGCCACGATGAATGCTGAGGAGCAATTATCCACAGAACAAACGATTTCGCGTATGAACGAGTCGGGATAGAAAGAATAGCTTCGTTCCCAGCGGAAGTTTCGTTCGTCGCGAATGCGCGACAGACACGGTGCACGCGGTAATTGCTTTAACTTTGCGGAATTAGCTGTTCAAGTTTCTCGTTTCGAGGAACAGCGGAAATTTATTGGACACGTTATTACGCACGCGGAACGAGCGCCGTTTATTTGAAAGAAGGAACAAAGGACCTGCGCGCGACAAACGCTGGGTTTACGGGGCGCGTCAATTTGACGTGTATTGAATTTTATTAACATTCCTGAGTCGGAGTTTTTAACGCGTTAAATGTCGCGTCGGTCACCGATGATTTGCTCGACGCAAATTGCGGTACGCGTTACTCGGCTATGTCGGTCAGAGATTAATTCCGATCGAAAGCTTGGGAGACTTTCAGTTGACCGTCTCTGACGTATAAAGTAAGCTTCGCGTTTAGAAGACGCAAATGGGTAATCCTTCGTCGAGATATTTTTCAAATAGATTATATTATTATGTCGTTTCCGGTGTTATCGGTAAGGAGAATCGTTCGCACTGCTCTCTACGATCTTTTCAAACGCATTTCTCAACTTAGGAGAGCTTCGGCCAAAGTCTGCAAATGGAGTTGGACCGAGCGGAGACCGAACTAGCAGAGAAGAAGGAAGAATTAAGAGCTCTGAAGGATCAAATTCGAGCGGAGGCAGCGGAAATGGTAGCTAGAAGAAAGAGGTATAGCTTCTTCTATTTACAAAGCTATGCCACGCAACTGTCGCCATTTTTCAAACACCTCGACAAATGTTTCGAATGAAAGTCTCCTGGACATCATCAAATACATCAGATTCCCAAGAAGCTTTAACTCTAGATTTACGGAGATTCATTGTCCTTGTTCTATTGTCCTCAGAAAAATTGATATTCGTTCACATAGATCTTAGAAATCAGTTTAAACGCAGACATCAATCAAAATCGACATAAGCGGTTAGCAAATAATGTTTATAAAATTCAATACCAGTCGAATTGACTCCTGTGAATCTAGTGTTAAAAATCGAGATCATCTTAGTTTCTACGTCACAGAATATACTTAATTCATTCTCGTAGTCGATGCCAAGGAGTACCTTTTTAAATTGTCCTTGAGCTGACCTTGAGTATTGAAAATCACCCTTGATCAAGAAAACGATATCAGAATTTGTGGCAGAATTATTTAGTGGCAGATCCTGTATATATTTATTAAGATATTTATTTAGTAAGATATTTACTAAGATATTTACTAAGATATATATTTACTAAGCTATATATTCATTCACTAAGACATTTACTAAGACGCATTCCCTAAGAACAAATCTAACAAACATTAAAATTCTGCGTAGATTCGAAGTAATAATGGCGGAGAATCAATCATCAGTAGCCGCTCTGACGAAACGACTAGCGCAAAGCAACGCCGAGGTAGAAAGGCTACAGCGCGAATTGAAACGAGGGGAAGATTGCATAAACGAGCACCGCGATTTGTTGAACATCATGCGCAACAATTCGCAAATAGTCCACGTACAGGTGCACGCTTTGATGGAGCAGTTGGATGCAAAGAAGGGGTTGGTCAATCAACTGGAGATCGAAAGTTTGAGCGAAGTGGAGTCGGTCAGGTCGATTTTCGAAGCTAAAATCGAAGATCTCAGTGACATCGTCTCGAAGGAAATGACGAGATTGATCAGCGACTGCGAGGCGAAGGATGCTCAGAATGCTGAGGTACTTTTATAGTCTGTGTTTTACAGATCTATTGAATATTAAATATGTTAGTAATATTCTTCGTTGGAAACACGCATTATTTTCTGACGAAATGCTAAGAGTTGCAAATAATAGTATTAACATGTAACAGTAACATTAACAATAATAGATTTATTGAATATTCATCCTATGCACTCGATATTTTTATTAGAAACACGCATTATTTTCTGACAAAATTTTCAGAGTTGCAAAGAAAACTAAATTCTTTTCATTCACTAAATAAATGAAATTACTAAAAAGAATTCACTGAAAAAATGAAATGAAAATTAAATTCTTTTCGTTCACTAAATAAATGAAATTACTGAATAAAAGAATTCAGTAAACAAATGAAATGAAAACTAAATTCTTTTCGTTCACTAAATAAATTGAAGTATTAAATAAAAGAATTCACTAAACAAATGAAATGAAAACTAAATTCCTTTCGTTCACTATATAAATGAAATGAAAGCTAAATTCTTTTTCTGTATAAATTCTTTCGCAACTACGGTCGCTAGGATAACTTTGTCATCAATAAATGACTAGAAAACAAAGGGAAATCCTCAATTCATCTATCCAGTTTTACGTCAGAGCATAATATTTAACAATATTTAATTTTCATCCAAAATTCAGTATGATTTTTCTAACTCTAATTTTTCTAACTTCCTCACGAGTCTAACTAGCAAGGGGTTAATGGTTAATTAATGTTTCTAACAACAATAGAATAAACTACAGTAAATCTCAGTAAATCTACCATGTCAAGGGTTAAAGTTTGACTTTTAATTTATTGTTAGATGAAACATCAGCTCCAAGAAATGGCCGACCACCTGAATGGAGCGAAGGACATGCTACTCCAGTTGGAAGAATGGAACGACGCGCAGGAGTTGCAGATTTCACGAATAGAATTATTCAATTACAAACTTAATGAACAGTTGAAGAACAGTAAATTAGCGACGGAGGAAGCTAATCAGTTGCTGGAAACGCAATCTATAAAACATAAAGCTGCTATTGACAAGGTGAACGAAATGTACTTTCGTATTAACAATATGCAATTCCCATAAAAATTGTAACAATAGATTATTGTCAGTTTCTTCAGACATTCATTATAGTACTGAAATGAATTGATTAGAAAATCAAAACGGTAGTTCTAGTGTTAACGCTTTGCACTCGACATTATTCATTATAAACATTCATTGTCTTCTAATGATTTTTCTAGCATCAATTAAAGTCTGAACAGTTCAAACAATTCGAACAATTTCAAAAAGTCAATTGAATTGTTTTAATAGTTCTAGTGTTAATCTTTGCACTTGACGATATTCATTATAAACATTCATTATTTTCTAACGAAACGTTAACAATATTGTACACATTATGGAGCAGAATTGTTTTATTCCTGTTCCATGTGTTAATACTTTGTTCAACATTTTATACTGAATTCTTCATTATAAACGTTCATTATTTTCTAACAAAATGTCAACAATATTGTACACATTATGGAGCAGAATTGTTTTATTTCTGTTCCATGTGTTAATACTTTATTCAACATTTTATACTGAATTCATTCTATAATTTCGTTGCGTACAAATGGCGGCTGAGAGTCGCCTCTCGAGAGGAAAGGGTTAATTATTCTAAAATGATTCAAATTTCAGGCGAATGCGAAGATTCAACAGCTGTCGGAAGCAATTAAGTCCTTCGAGAAGAAAGATAGCTTGATTCAAGATAAGACTGAGTTGCTGGAGAAAGAGAAAGCTCGCCGAGAGGCTGCCGAAGAGTAGGTTTCCTTGGTAGAAATTATTTCATATATTTGTTGTATGTTTGTTTATTAAATGAATAATTTGTTTGGAATATTTTAGAGAAGTTAAGAAGCTTCTTCGGCAGAATGCACGTCTGATGAACGATCACGAAGAAATTAGCGAGAAGTATGCGCAATTAATTGGCCATCAGAACCATAAACAGAGGATTAAGCACGTTTCACAGTTGAAAGACAAAATTAATCAATTGGAGCAGGTATGAGTCGTTTAAACGTGGATATTTATAATTATATAATTATATTATTGATATTTGCAATGTAGTTTTGTTGTTTAACATGAAATTTCTTAGAGAAAATGTGTGAGATGAAGAATGTAAATCATTTGAATTGTATTATTTATAGTAGAAATGTTTTCAAATAATTGTTTCATTGAATGAATTGTAGTAATTTTGTGTTTTTCAACAATATTGCTTATTGTTGATGCTTTTGTATAGTATAATTATTGATTTGTAGAGAAATAAGAATAACAATCTTATAGTAAGAGGATTTTATGTTAAAATGAAGATGTTTTTCATCAGTATTGCTTCTCGTTGATGCTATATGTTGAGAATTTGGTGTTCTAATGATGTGTTTTAGGATTTACGTTTAAAGACGAAGAAGATAGAACAGCAGCAGAAAACAATAGAAAAATTGAAGACAGAAGACAAACGTATGCACAGCAAGGGGAAGGAAAATGTAATAGGTATTACCAAGGACACGTACACAACACCTGTATCATCTCCACTTAAGCCATTAACACCGTTAAGAAGTAGGAACGACTAGCTTTTAATTTCTCATAGATGATGTGCTTCATTTTATGATTAGGATCAAATTCATTCGAACGGAAATAGGTGTATAAATAACTGTAACACGAATATGTACGCGGCAATTTATATACATATGTACTGGAATACTTCTGTTTACAGTATACTTCAATACGAGAAGCTTGTAAATCAGTATATAGTGAACTATAGTATATATATATATAGAATTGTAATGCATTAATCCTAGCAAATTTTATATTTATTTCACGCAACCGATGCATTCACCGTGAAATCGATCGTTTAGTTTGATAGGATCTGTTAAAAGTCTGTGATGATTATGTTTAGTTATAAAGTTTATAAGCAATATGATCTACTGAAGTGTATATGCAGTTTAGAAGCTTAATGTTAAAAAGTGTATCAGTACGATCAATTTATTTTTCCCATCGATATTTCCAAATGTTTAATTTTATACAGAAATAAATGCATTTTGTACTGAGACTTCATCCCCTGAATGAATAAATGTCGAATATCATTACTATTTGTATTCGGAGTTTATTTTTGTTTAAATATGGGTGAACGAGATGGTTTTGTATTGTTAATTAGGTTACGTTTGTGACAGTTTGATTAAATTTAACAACTTGCAACCCCTTGAACCCCCTCGAGAGGGTTAAAGTGGCTTTTAATTGTACATCACTGAATTTAAAGCTCAGAACTTTCATATTTTTAGAGATTATAGGTTATTTTAATTTCTTATTTATTTATTTTTATTTTTTATTCTATTTCATTATTGTTTTCTTTGTCTTTTTTTAATTTTTTGGTAGGAAAAGAGTTCAACGGCTGTATAAAAGATATATTTATTTATAACATTCAGTAAATTATTCATTAGAAATATTTTTATTACCAACTTCTATGACAAATTGTTTAAAAAAATTATTTATAAAAAGAATACCAGAAATATAAAGAAAAGAATTAAAAAATTATAAGCTATTTTTTGAACAATAATTTTTAACAATAATTTCAGTTTTTAACAATAAATAATAAGAAAAAGAATTTAATTTTATCAAAAAACAGTGGCACCTCTGGTGGCAAAACGCCCAAACTGATAGCCAAATGTTACCGATGTAAAAGTAAGAAGGCCGACTGCAGCGCCTCTGTTGGCAATAGCCCCAAACTGGTATCCAAATGTTACCGATGTGGAAATTCACACCGGCGACTGCAGCGCCACACGTGGCAAAACGCTCAAACTGGTAGCCAAAAGTTATCGACTCAGGAGTGAACAAGGTTAGATTGCAGCGCCACCCGTGGCAAAATGCCCAAACTGGTAGCCAACTGTTACCGATGTGGTAAGCCACTCCTTCGACTGCAGCGCCATCTGTGGCGAAATACTGAAACCGCAGTTCTTCCTGCTACGCTAGATGGCGCCACAGTCGATCGAGTGAATTTCCACATCGGTAACAGTTGGCTACCAGTTTGGGCATTTTGTCACGGGTGGCGCTGCAGTCTAACCTTGTGAATTTCCACATCGGTAACATTTGGCTACAAGTTTGAGAATTTTGCCACGGATGGCGCTGAAGTCATCATAATATTAAATAAATATTATTTATCACTTTATAAAATAAGAATAAATAATGGAATAGTCAGTTTTGCAATGGTAAGCACTTGAATTTTGTTTAGCGTTGATTTTTCCTCCAATCAAATGATGTTTTTTAGACATAACCTCAAATAAAAAGTGCTCTGTCAAAGAAAAGGTACATAAGTAAAGTCTGGTTGTCTTTGTCATCAGATGCAAAGTTAAAATATACTTTAGAGTGTTAGCTTATATATTTACAAGTAAGATGTTTAAATAAAGATAACATTCTTGAAGACTGTAAACAAACGTGGGGTATGCAAGAAGTGATACAAACAGTAGGACCTTATTTCAATTTCAAGTACTACGATATGAAACAGTTATTACAGAATATTTTATTATAATTATGAGTATGTATTTGTTAATTATATGTTTAATTTCAAATTCTTAATTACAGATTAAAATCCAGTAAGAAGTACTATATGCACATATTGCGAAGCTTCAATCTAAGGTGAAAAGGCTTAAGAAAATGATTGAAGAGATTGTTTCCTTTATAAGTGGTATTATTTCAAGTTCATTTTGTTACATATAATTATAATATGTAATTTAGTATTGTGTATTTTTAATTAAACATTAAAGTAGGAGACTTTGTAATGCAATTAAAGCTATTGAAAGGAAAAGTAGTAATATAGACAGTACGATTGAATAACATAGAACACCTCACAGAGAATTCTGTTATATTTTTATATGAATTATTGTTTAAATAATGTAATTGTAAATCTAACAAAAGGATTACAAAGAAATAACAATTAACTCATTGTTATTATCACATATAAACTGTCCATAAAATACCCAAGTATATTAGATCTCATATAATGCATATTAAATACATTATATTTATTAGTATATTATTATATGTTATAATATTAAATAAATTATAATATATTAGTATATTATTACGTATGTCATATTATTAAATAAATTAGAATACATTAGTATATTATTATATATATTATATTAATTAAATAAATTATATACATTAATATATTATTATATATGTCATATTATTAAATAAATTATAATATATTAGTAAATTATTATATACGTCATATTATTAAATATATTACATATATCAGTATATTATTATATACATTATATCATTAAATAAATCATAATACATTAGTATTACATAATTCTTCCCATGATTCATCATTAAAATCACTAGTCCTATTTACCAGACACACCCCCAATATCTCTAAGAAAACACTAAAAATACTCCAAAAACAAAACCGTATAAATGCCGCAGCAGAGAAGGTAATTACACGTTTGAATGGCTGGAAATAAATTTTGATAAAACCTATTAAAATTATTAAGCAGGCGTGCGCATGATTAAGTTTGATTATGCTCGACCATGCGCTCGGCGCTGTTGCGTGTGTTGCTATTATGCATTCCCTTCGTGACGGCTCTTGACACAAGCAATCACTGTTCTACGTAGGTACTGCTCTCTGAACCTATTCTAAGGTCAATAGGCACATGAATTTTAAACATCGTTGTCAGCTTCCTTGCTCTAATTAGACTCCGTCTTATTTTGCATTCCGCGTGCAGTGATGAATGATAATGTCCGATTTAATTAGAATCCTCCATCTTTTATTTATCTAAATATCTTTTAACACTAAAACTACCAATGACTTCTTTTGCAATTAAAAAGAAATGTTTGGGAAATTAGAGAACCTGATTTAATTGTACCTGAACTGAAATATAAACTATCTTAATAGTTTTATAAACAAATTTGGAGAAGTCAATTCAATTGCTCGTAGTTCTAGTGTTAGAAATTACCAAACTTTAACAGTATAATTAACAAATGAGTCGAAATGATATTCATTCCTTGATTGTTTCTTTGGATTACAATATGAGACGAAGATCTCAAACAGAAATTGACAAAAGCAAATGAATCTTAATTCTCGTGAGCCAAATGATATTTCTATCAGCATTAGTGAATTCTTTCTAGTGAATTATTAATGACAAATTCTTAATGAACTAAATCGCAGGTCAAGGGTTGTTACCTAAGCGAAATTCAAAACCGTTTAACGAGATGTCTCGTCACCATTTTATTTAATATAACAAAAGTACAAATTGTTTATAATATTCAGTTTATTATATTGCATCAACATGAATATTTCTATAAATAGCATTGTTTTTTAATTTCTTTCGAATGTTTCCAATGAAATCTTCCGAGTGCGAGAGGTTAATAAATCCAGGTTCGTAGTTTTTCTAAGTGCCCGGCAGTTCTATCGTTCAATTAACTTACAAATGACTTTTGTCTCGTCTTTTAGAAGCAATTCCAGCACGAGATATTTCACAATCTCCCTTAAATCGCTATTAAACTTTACTGCGTACAATTTTTCGACTTTCCGAAGTGCGCGCAGCCATCTTGTCGGAGTTTAACGTCCGCGTTACCCATTAAACTGCGCATTCCGATGAAAATATCGTACAATACTGTGTCTCGCCTCTTCGTTCGAACGTTTGCGACTGATTCACTGTAATTATGTAATGTTCTTTCGCTGATGATACTAATACAGTCATCGCAGGAGGAGTATGAAAATATAATTCTATATTCTGGATGATCGTGTTCTTGAAACTCTGGAATAGTGTTAATTAACCTCTTGTTATACGAATGAGACTCGTGGTTTCTAGATTAATTTAACAAAATCAGTTCATTATTTATGGATCAAAGCGAACTATTTTGATAATTGATAACAATGATCTTCAAATGAAATGTCCACTTAACCTTCTGCACTCAGATGTTGAATGTTATATCAGTTTTATTCACAGTGATGATTCTTTGTTAAGATATCTTTCAAATAAATCATTTTTAAACTATTTCTTCAAATGCATTTTAGAGTTTCGAGGCAAAAATGCAACAGAAATTCGGAGTTCAATTATTTGAATGTTTCTAATTATCTACTCTCAAACCTTTAATTTCCAAAATCTGAATGGACTAATATAAATTTTGCTAAGGATTGAGAAATGATTAAAGAAACTGATTTAGCAGTATCTAAATTGAAATGTAAAGCGATTGAAATCTTAGTAAATTCACGTTAGTAGCTTTTGTAAAGGAATTTTATGGATTACTATAATTTATTCAATAAAACGATGATTATTTGGAAACTCTTCTGCATTACTAGTGATGATACTACCTAATGCAGTATGATTCTTTTGGAAATTCAATATGAAATAATGAAAAAATTTCAGTAAAAGATCAAATGTCGCTCAAAGTCACATCGTGATTCTATTATGCTTAATAAACTGAACAAAACGATTCTCTTATTTCAATTTTCGCGATCGCCGGCGGTCGGAGCGCAATTACATCCGCATGAAACAATGAACAAATTCCAGTAAAATATTCTAGAAACTAAACAAAACGAAGCGATTCTCTCATTTCAACGATCCAGAATATTCCACCATCCATACAAATATTGAAAAAATTTCAGTAAAATTATTAGTGTTCACAGGGCCCAAATGTTCAAAAGCCAAAAACCCGTCGTAAACGCAATATGAAACAATGAAGAAATTTCAATAAAATATTCTAGAAATTAAACAAAACGAAGCGATCTCTTATTTCGATTTTCGCGATCGCCGCCGGTCGGAGCGCAATTACATCCGCAGCGTGCGTTAAGCGTGCAAATAGCGAGAGGATGGTTCTTACAAAAATCGATTTCGCTGCACCAGCGAAGTATGCCCCGACGAGTGACCCTACTTTCACAGTTGACCCCATTCCACGGTCCGCTTCGGAATAGCCCGATGGAAGGGCCCTGTTTGTTCTGCTCGTCCTCGAACGAAGCACCCCTGGCCCGGCCGCGGAGGGAGGGAAACGAACCGAGCACGAGAGGAAGCCGCACAGATCGTTGCAGAAAAATCACCGGTCGTCGATGCAGGGGCTGCCTTAAGGGCGGCGGCCGATCGCAGCTCGCGGCGCGGAAGGGTTCGAGCGTGAGAGCTTTCCACGGGACACGATAATTACCCCCAGTGGTCAGTGTCCACGGAAATCTAGCTGCAACCCCCCGCTGCTACGCTGGATTTCTGTTGCCCCGTCTTTGCATCCGCCGAAACGGATTAACGGGGACATTGAATTTCCCTGGACATCCCCCGGATGAGCCGTGTTTTTTCGGAGAATTTATTTTGTGGTTTGTAATTGGGAAATTGGGAAATTGGGGATGTTGAAGTGGCATGTGTTTATTAATTGTTTGAGTGCTGAGTATCAATTATGATTTTCTTGCTATGTTTTTCGAGAAATAAGTCAAAGTAGATTTGTTTGAGTAAATGTTGTTTTTTGATAGTTTTTTGTAATGACATTCTCCGGATGAACCGTATTTTTTCGGGGAATTT